AACCACTCTCTCAGATTACCCAAAATGTTGACATTTAGCATTGCATCTGGGTGAGGTGACATGGTGGCCAGCAATGAGCAGAGCCAAACACCATTTCAGCTTGCATTCAGAAGTGATGCTACCATGTGATGCTATCAAGCGATGTGTTCCATGTTTATGTATTTTAACTTAATGTGTTCAATGGTTTTATGTGTTTTAATCTATGTTGCACCCCACCTTGAGGAGAGGCAGGTAATAAAATCATCATCATCATCATCATCATCATCATCATCACCACCATTACCACCACCACCACCACCAGAAAACAAGTCTGGTATGTCCCTGAATATGTGGCTGGCAGCATCAGATCCTGTGTGTATGTGCAATGGGATCAATGCCATGGTGAGGCACTAGCATCAGAAGTTCCTACAGTGATCTCTATGAGTAGCCCTGGTGACTGGATGCTGGCATGTGCAATTTTGGGCCACAAATAGTGTAGAGGAGTACCCCTTGTTGGATGGGGAAATGCTGTAAAATGGTTATCATTTGCTTATTGTTACTATATGCACTGCTTTGAGGGATGTGGTAGCTTAGTGGTTAAGACACCAGTTCTGACGATCGTAAGGTCAGAAGGTTGGCAGCTCGAGGCCCAGGTGCCACATAATGAGGTGAGCTCCCATCAATAGTCCCAGATTCTGCCAACCTAGCAGTTTGAAAACATGCAAATGCAAGTAGATAAATAGGTACCATTTCAATGGGAAGGTAACACGTTCTGTGCAGTCATGCTGGCCACATGACAACGGGATTTGTCTTCGGAAAATGCTAGCTCTTTGGCTTAGTAATGGAGATGAACACTGCCCCTTACAGTCGGTTATGACTGGACATTCATGTCAAAGAGAAACCTTTATCTTTATGCTCTAAGCACCATTCAGAGCAAGAAGATCCCTCAGCAAGCATCTTTTTCATGGAAGACTGTGTGTGCGTTTGTGTGTGTGCACATGTGCACATTTTAAGTTGAAAATTGGCAACTCTTTGACCAGAATCTAGTGGTGTACACTTCCACCAGAACTGGCAACCTCCACCTTCCTCCTGAAGGCTTCTTTCCTTTGAGCCCAAAAACCTCTTGTAGAGGGCTGGAGAATCCTCCTCCCTTGGCCTCACATGGGTTGCAATAAGAGGGGAAATGGAAGAAAATCCCAGTTTTACTTGCATTGGATACTGAAGTTTCACCACTGAATCTTGGCCTTTTATGGCTTCCAAGCAAAGGATTATCCAGTAATTTTCTTGTTTTATTGATTTGTCTGGTACAGTGGACCCTGGGTATCTGCTAGGGTTTAGCTCCAGGATCCCCATAGATACCAAAATCCATGGATGCTCAAATCCCATTAAACGCAATGGCATAGTAAAATTGTGTCCCTTCTATAAAATGGCAAAATCAAGCTTTGCTTTCTGGAATTTATATATTATAAAATATTTTCAAGCTGTGGATGGTTGAATCCATGGATATGGAGGGCAAACTGTATAGTTACATCCTGTGTCCCATGAGCTCCGGTCATATATGGGACTCCCCCC